CAGGTGTTCGACAGAATTCCCAGAGTGTTGCGATCCAGGTGTTCGAAAATTCCCAATCCAAGTGGGAAGTGTCTGCGACCCAGGTGCTCGACGAAATTCCCCAAAGCAAGTAGGAGGTGATTGAAGGAAGGAATGGCCACCAGCGGATCAAACATGCCCGAGGAGACTCTCGAGGTCAGAGAGACACGTGCTGGTCGAAAGGCAAAGTCCGCCTCACAGACCCAATCCCTGGGCTGGATGCTAGGCTATCCAGGGTGGAGGTAACCGTGGGTGAGATGCGTGACCGCCTTGATGTGCAGGAGGAGCACATGGAAGAGCTTCACGTCGGGATGAGGAACTAAGAGGAGAAACCAAGAGATGGTGAGGGAGACCTTTGAGTTAGTCACCGAAAGAAACGCCCAGCTTTCAAGGGAGATGGAAGCCATGAGGCGAGAGCTTGATGAATTGAAGGAGGAAGTGCGGACAGCAAGGGCCAATAGTGGGCGAGAAGCTGCTGCACACCCGGAAGTAAGGCTTGATGTGCCAAAGCCGAGAGAGTTCCGAGGCCAGAGGGATGCCAAGGAAATAGACAACTTTCTCTGGGGGCTAGAGCAATATTTCAAAGCAACCGGGATTGTGATGGATGACAGACGGATCATCGCAGCATCCATGTATTTGGATGACACGGCCTTACTCTGGTGGAGGAGGCGATGCGACGAGAGCTCGGCAGGAGAGCACCGTGTACACACATGGGTTGATTTCCAGCGGGAGTTACGCCAGCAATTCTACCCCGGAATACGCCAGAGTAGATGGAGGCGGGCAAGTTGCGGCGTCGGCTGGGTCCAATGTGTGCGTGGGGAAATCCGGGACTGCTATGTGAAGGAGTTCAGCGAGCTGGCCTCCTTCAAATGGGTGATCTAGGGGAGAGGCGAGGCTCTCTTCACTCTTCATGGATGGTCTGCAAACCATGGGCCAAGCAAGAATTGCAGAGGCGAGGCAGCTTGACTGCAAGACCTCCTCACTCGAGCCATGGGCAGTGGCCCGAAAGTCTGGTGGATTACTCACGGCTGACGAGGACAGGCCGCAACGCCACCTCCAAGTGACCGAGGGACAAAGGTAAGGTAATGGGCGGACAGCAGAACGATAGCCATGTCCAAGGATAGTGGCGAGGGCAAGCCACACCCAGCGGGTGGAGGGTGTTCCACATCGAGGTCCACGGGATGGTGGCAAGGGCAAGCCACATTCAGGTGGGGAGATAGTTCCACATCAAAGTGGAAGTGCCTCCAGAGAGCAAGAAGAAGGCCCACCACAGAGGGTGTCTTCCTATGCGCGACCGGACCGCATCTCGGGTCCCGAGACTGCCGAAGCGGGCAAAAGCTCTTGCGGCAATGGGCTCGGAGGAGGAGGCTCATCAGCGAACGAGAACCAGCGAGGTGTGGGCGTCAGTGCGACTGGGGCGGGGCAGCGTGAGCAAGTCGGAATTAGTCGGCGGAGGGGGCTCATGTATGCCGAGCTATGATTATTAGTCGGGACAGCCAGTGGAAGCATTGGTGGACACTGGCGCTTCAGAACTCTTCGTGTGTCCGAACAGTGTGCCGCCAAACTAGGCATTAGAGCCAACAGAGCAGGCGGTTGGTGAAGACTGTAAACTCGAAGAGGGTACGCACAAAGGGCATTGCCAAAGGGATCGACTGCATGTGCAGATTGGAGAGTGGCATGGAGCTGTGGACATCGAGATCATCCCGAGGATGACTACGAGATTGTAGCAATGGGGATCGGATTTCTGGATCGAGTTCAAGCCATTCTCATGCCACAAATATGACTGCATATGTGTCTTGGAACAAAAGGGGCAATGCATAGTACCAATCAGATGGGGGGGAACGATCAGCCAACGAAAACACTGTCTGCCATAGCCAAAGGCGTAGGCAAGGGGGAGCAGACAGTTGCTGGGTTGGGTCTAGAGGACACCCTCCCAACAACACATCGAGGCACCGGCAGAAGTGTTGCAGAAGCTTCAGGAAGGCAATGCATTTAAAGCTGTCAGGCCTCCCACCTCCCGCCGAGAAGTTGCTCACGGTGAGCTATAGTGCCAGGGGCACAGCCACACACCGAGGCACCATATCAAGTGGCACCTCCAAGATCCGCCCACGGCAGCGAGGATGCTGCAAGCTTAGGTGGGGGAGGGTGTCACGGTTCGCTGAATCGAAGCCCTACACACGGCAGCGAGGACGCTGCCAGCTTAAGTGGGGGAGGGTGTCACGGGCCACAGTCCAGACCCACCAGGAGGCCCAAGAGGGTGCCAGCCCAGTCCAGACCCACCTGGAGGCCCAAGAGGGTGCCAGCCCAGTCCAGACCCACTTGGAGGCCCAAGAGGGTGCCAGCCCAGTCCAGTCACACCAGGGGGGCCCAGAAGGGGTGCGGCCCACGGAGGGGGGCGTGCTGGAAAATTCAAATTTCCCTCCCAACCGAACTTCTAGAACCTTCCAAAACTTTGGAGAGGAAATCTTTTGGGGGGGAATACTTTGAATTGAAAACTTTGGAGGGATCTTTTGGGGGGAATACTTTGAATTAAAAACTTTGGAGGGAAAAGTGGGTGGGGAACCTTGGCTATTAATAGCCCCATCCACCATTGTGTAAATCATCCATTTTTGCATCCATTCTTGCATCCTTTGTATTTCAATTCATTCAATATAAAGAGTTTTAGTTTTTCTCTTAGCATTCTCTTCCCATTTTTCCTTCCTTGTTTATGCAAGCTTGCTTGCCGGCTTAAAGCCATTGTGCGGGTTGTGAGCGCTTGTCGGGCGTGAGTAAGGCTGACTTGGGTTCTACTGCCGAGCTAAGGGCTGAATCCAACGGCGCACGAAGGTGGTCTTAAGAATCGCCCCGTGACACTTGAACCTAGTTGAAAAAGGCAGATGATAGTAGATTCAAGCTCCTTGTGCTATCAAGGGAGAAAACATAGACTTTGATGGTTGAACCTCTATAAAAATCATGATTGAGGTTTTTGCTTCTTTTTTATACTCATTACTTGCTTTATTCTTCATCTTTAAGCTTTTACACTTTGGTTCTTAAGCTGTGCTTTCAAAGGTTTCATCTTTACCTCTTGAAACCATTCAACCCCCCCCCCCCCCCCTCTTTTTTGGTTTTTTTTATCTTAAGCTTCTTGATCTAACACACGTTGATAGCAATTTTTCCTTTTAACCTTCTAATTTAGCCTCAAACTCTGTCCACCATAAGTTTCCAAAATTTCATCGAAGCTTGTCTAACCCTAATGGTAATCCCAAATAAGTGGATCATACAGCCCTAACCTTATAATGTATTGTAGCTACCCATGATCCTAAAACCTCTGCATTTACTCCAATACGAAACAAGTTGCTTTGCTAAAGGTTAATCTTTAAACAAGATGCAGTCTAAAAACATTATAACACTCTTTTCATATGCCACAAGACTTCAAGATTCGGTTGATATAAAAGTAAAGTATCATCCGCAAATTGCAAATGTGATACTTGTAAACCACCATCGCCAATTGGGATGCCGCAACACAAGTTTTCCTCTTTGGCTTTACCCATCATACAATTAAAGACCTCCACTACCATATTAAGTAAAAATGATGACAAAGGACACCCATCATGTAATCCCCTTTGAAACTTTATTGGTTTTGTGGCTAACCCATTCACTAATACAGATACCGAAGTAGTTGACACACATTTCTTTAGCCATTGCAGCTACTTCTTCTCAAACCCCATCTTTTCCATAGTTAATTCAAGAAACCTCCAATTCACACAGTCATATGTTGTATCAAAGTCCACCTTTAGCATTAGTCACCCACTACAACTTTTTTGCATTAGATCAACCATCTCGTTTGCAATAAATGCTGAATCTAATAATTGTTTGCCTTCAACAAAAGCTAACTAGTTTTCCCCAATCACCTTCTTTAATCTATTTGCTAAAACCTTAGCTATGATTTTGTACACACATCCCACAAGGCTAATAAAGCGATATTCCTCAATAGCACTAGGGTTTTTTATCTTTGGGATCAAAGTGATAAAGCTTCCATTTAGCCCATGCCTTAAACTTCCTTAAAATGTAAAAATCTATGACAAATTTCATTGCCTCATCTTTCACCACTGCCCATTGGGTTCTAAAGAAATTTAAGTTAAATCCATTAGGACCAAGAGCCTTATTTTCATCACACTCCTTAATAACCCTCCAAACTTCAATCTTTGTAAATAGAGACTCCGACTTTGAAACATACTCATATTTCAATGTCTGAATTCCACATTTTATATCTTTTAATCTCTGAGTCCTTCTTGCAGAGTACAACCTTTGAAAGTGCTTCACTACCTCCTTATTAATTTGTACAGGATCATCTGTCATCTGGTTATTCACTTTAATACTCACCAAGCAATTGACCATTTATGAAAATGATAAAATAAGAATATCCTCCTTTAGCACTCCTGTTCATTGGGTCACGTGTATCTAAATGTATAAACCTATTAACATACTAGCTCTCTCACCTTTTCACAAGAATTAGAAGAATTAATTTTCTAGTTTCTAAAGCAAATAACCAAGGTAACAATCTAAATGACTTTCTGCATCACTTTCAAATTTACTTTCCTCTGTACATTTAGTTCTCAACAACGTTCCTTTTTCAAAATATAAAGTGCAAACTTAAATAAAAAAATTTTTCCTTATAATATGATATTTGCTTTGGCATGGACAAATTTGTTTTTTTTATGGGAGAAGACAGTCACTCCTGTAAAGTGACAATATTGGTACACAAAGGTTCTAATCCTTCAAGGATCTGACCCCTTTGCAGGAAACTTTAAGGCATGGTCCAGCAACCATGAAGATAAAAACTATAGTGGGGTGTTGGACAGCCTTGCCTCTACTTTATAAACGAATAGAATTTGAATCCAGTAAGTAAAGGGACTAACAATTTGAGTACCAGCACATCCCCTACAAAGCCAATGCAAGAAATTAGTTTAGCAACTCTCAGATTTTCTCACGCGTTTTAATAGTAAGGGCATAACAATTCAAAGGGGTTGCGACCAGGAAACAAGCCATATTTGAAACTTAGGCAGGAAAAAGATATGGGAAAAGGCCCATCAAATGTTTGGTTATTGGTATTTTTGGACCAACACCTTGTTTAAAGGCCTTCTAAGCAAGTTCCAAAGCAACAAGCTAGTTTTTCATTCTAATGACAGATTATATGTAATCATTTACAAAGAAATACCAAGTGCAGTGTAAACCCAAACAAGCAAACCTAGTTTGAGCAGCATCCAATTCTTTTAAGAACAGATCCATCATCCTTGACATTAATGGTCTCTCCCCTGGATGGAACAGAAGAGGCTGCAGCATCACCACCTGTCTCGACAGCCCTCTTGCTTACAATCCGGTATATCTGAGTAAGAACCTCAGTGAAAGCATTTTCAACATTGGTCGCATCCAGTGCTGAAGTCTCCATGAAATAAAGAGATTCCCTCTCAGCAAAAGATTTCCCATCCTCTATCGAGACAGCTACAAGGTGTCGCAGATCTGATTTGTTGCCAATTAGCATGACTACAATGTTAGGGTCTGTATGATCCCTCAATTCCTTCAACCACCTTGCAGCATTCTCATATGTAGCATGTCTTGTGACATCATAAACAAGCAATGCACCAACAGCTCCTCGATAATAAGCACTAGTAATGGCCCGGTATCTGTCAAAAAAGGAGAGTGAAAAGGACAACTAAATGTGTGTTTTAATATTTATGGTTTGTAACCCTAAAAATATTGCAGTTTCTTGCACTTGTCACTTTAACAGGAATAGTTACAATAGATTTGTTATAGGGCGCACTCAAGCATAAAAGAAAAAAAAACAACTAAATTTCAGATTGTGAAGCACAATTGCTCAATGGCCAGGCAACCCAGACGCGACCAAAATTACAAAACGAGCTCATTATGGTAAGTATCTACATGGCATTTGGCGTAACACTTTATTAGACCAAATTCCATGTCCATAAAGAAACTCAAAGAGAAGGCACAAAATGTAGAGGGTGGCAGGAGTAGGGTGGCATTCAAACCAAACTTAATAGAAAAGGAAATAATTTTCTTCTCCAGAAAACAAATGTGCAGGCAAAACATTATTGGCAATAACCATTACACCACCGCAACAAACAAATGCCACTACATCAGGGAGCTCACCACACAGAATCTATCAATGCAATCAATTTGCTTATATAGTTACATAAGCAAATCAGACTTTGGTTAAATCCTAATGGTTAGTATATAGATCATTCAAAGCATACCAAACCAATGAAAAGGGTAGCAGAGCCAAGACAGTTCCAATGTAAATGAGTCCTGAAACTTAATAAAACATATACAGTGAAGTATCACTAGATGCATTCTCAGAATGAATTATATGGAGGCAGATCATAATACTTTCTCAATGCTAAAAAGCATAATTACAAAATTCCCCAAGTTTTTAGAAACTATATGCTTCCATCCTTGAGATCCCCTAGTTCTATACATTTACATTCATTAACTGAGTTTATCCAAGGGGGGGCTACAGGTGGAAAATTTTACCTGAACCCAAAAACCCATCCAAACCCACTCAACATCCAATGGATTGACTAAAAACAGTAAATGACCCAAAACCAAAAATAACCAAACCTCCAAACCCAAGGCAACCCGAATACGGAATAGCTCAAATCGGACATGACCCAAATACGAGACGATCCGAATTTGAAGGTTGCAATGCTATAATCACAAGGGTGACAGAAAAACATTAAACTATCACAAGAAGGTTGTTAAAGGAAAAGTTAATTGCACATTTGGCACTCAATCTATAATGAAATGTACAAATCAGTATCTAAAGAAAAGAAAAATTATACAATAGGCATCCTGAAACTTTCAGATAGTATACCATGTTAACCTAGCGCACCTATGTGGCATCTGACCAGTCTAATTATGTCATGCGTACGTCATGTGTTTAAAATAATGTTAAAACATTTTGTGAAAATTTTACATAGATGCCATGTGGCATCCAACACTTAGCAGATCTTGAGAGAGAGTTTTACCATCCAAGAGCAAAAACCTATATATTTTTTCAATTGCTGTTGAAAAGAATGTTGATGGCTCCATGTGATGTATACATAACGAAATAATTTTGGTCAAATGTCAAATATATAAGCCAATTGGCTTAGCGGTGTAATAGTTTGGGTTAACATGGTACATAATTGAAAAGTTCAAGGTGCAAATTGTACATTTACTTTTCACTAGGTATCAATGTGTACATTTTGATAAATTTCAAGTACCCAATGTTTAATTAAATCTAATTGGAAATATCACTTGTTAGAGACAATTTTGGGAAATTATGAAATTGGTCAGATTTTTTGTTTTTTTTTTTGGGTTCAGTTTCAAGTAGAATAAATTAGAATATAACAATTGTAGATTACCTTTCATTTCTATCTAGAAGCTAGGGTAAAACATTTGTTTACCTTTCGTTTCTTTCCAATTATACATTCTATTAAGTCCTTTGCACAGCATAAGAACCAATTGTGACTAAAGGTTAAGTCCCTCTAACAACAATTTTTTACTCTTAAACTGGAAAATCAGAATAAACAAACGGTTGGTCCACTATCGTTTCTTGGTTAAGACTCATCAACACAACTACCAATTGACAACACACTTTTAAGCCTAAAACTGTTCTCCATTCATTCTATCATGCATGTTTTATTGCAGAGTGTTGCCATTAAATATGAAATTACAAGATCATCTTCCATAACCAGTTGGTGTAATAGCCATTTTGTTAAAGTATTGAATCTTGTCAAGCAGATTAAGTTAATCACAAAAAGTTAAGAATCCTTGCTTGACATTATGTCTAATCCAGAACACAACACACAAACATAACAAACACAAACCAAGTTTAGGCTTAACTCTTTGCTATTATCATCCCCAAATTAGAAACACCATACAGTTTCAATACAAACCGATTACCAGAGGCTTCATGGTGTTGTAATGAGCTCTAAAATAACAAACCATGGGTAAAATTATGGTTTTCAGCCTACCCATTATAGGTGTAAGGCATCAACAAGATATGAAACAAAACTCTCGAAGATGACTTAGAAACTCTTGAAAGGAGGTTTAAAAATATAAAGGGGATACTCTTAAAAAGATATAAAAAAGAAAAACAAACAAACAAACAATTTAGAGTGACTGTAATAGCATCAAAATTCAAAAATATTAACACCTTTTTCATTCCCCAAGTGTGAATATTAATGTTTCTGGAGAATAAAGAACAATAAAACATTCTGAAGATCCAGTGGCATTCCCTATAAACTTTTTCTACTTTAGGCAATTCTAAGTGAGAAATAAAAGACCCCCCAGAGGTTTACCCAAAAATTCTTTCTCCCCCATGCATTTTAATAAACACTCATTTATCCCCCTAAAATGTAATAGGCATCAATATTCCATTGGTAATAAAAAGCTTCTGATCATTTCAAATTCCATGAACACCCTGATTTTCTTTTCTCCCTCTTTCTTGTTTTTTTTCCTCCCTCTTTCCTTTCTTCTTCCATCTGCCAGCAAGTCATCGTGAAATTAGCAGCCATAATCTGGGCTATAGGACTGTTTCCAACCATCAGCAGGCTGGATCCATCAGATTTGGCAATATCTGGCCTTGCAATGGCTGTTTACTCCCTCAATAGGCTGGATCTGGCCTGCCTAAACTGTTTATAGTATTGGCAGCCAAATCAAGCCATGCCGTGGCCATTTTCAGCCTTGCCAGGTTGGATTCAGCCCTACCTCTTCCAGAGTTGGATCAGGCTGGATCCAACCTTACATGGCCAGATTTGACCTCAGCAAGCCAGTTCAAAACTTGTCTTGACCATTTCCAGCCTCATCTAGGCCAGTTAGATGCAGCCAACAGCAGCAATGAATGTCTCAAAAGCCTAGTTTGCAATTTGGTACAGGGACAAGCTCCCTGGTGGAAGGCACAAATAAATGGGCAGGGGGGTGAGAAGGAATGGAAAAAATGGAGAAAAAGAGTAACATACTCAAAAGGCATAGAAAAAAGGGAGCAAATAAACAACATAATTTATATAAAAGGAAATCAGGTGACAATGTAAAGAGTTTAAAATAAGAAAAAAAAAAAGGAAAGAAATAGCATATGTACCATCCACTCGATCAAGAAATTGGAAATTGAAGTTCTTTGAGGGAACTCAACCACATTCTTGTAAAACCTCACTTGCTGAATTACATTGACTCTAACTTAATATATGGGGCTCTAGCACCCCATTGAGATAAGCCTAAGAAATAATTTAAAAGACAACAAATGATAAGATATCACTTTGAGTGATAGTAAACCCAGTGATATATAATGAAATTAACAGAGACAAAATAACCAAGTTAAAATAACTAATTCTAAATCATTCTAAAGGGAACAATATATCTTTTGGTTTGAAACAAACTTGGAAACTAACAGTGTTACTTCGAAGGGGAAAATTTGTGTTTGTATAGATGTAGGAAAATATAGTTTATTGGCAGGCATTTTAGGGCATTAGATGACTAATAGGGTTACTTCCATATTCATCCCCAACTTTAAAGACCCATTTTCCCCCACATTTGAGAGTGAAATTTAAATCAAGGGTAAAAACAGGTTAGATTAACTACGTCAAGTGACTAGTCACCGCAGAAACATAAATAACTGCTGTTGCACCATAAACTTGACTGATGACTGAAGTATATCGACAAAAAGTGGTACATTCAAAGATCAAATTCTAATGGACACGACATTGATGAATCTGTACAACTTCAAGTCCTACTGTTTTCATCTAAACTCAGCACAACATAAAAGTTACAGGTCAGCTATTCCCTCTCTCTCTCTCACACACACACACATGCACATGTGCTCTCGCACATGCAGAAACAAAAATTTCTACCTAAAACTTTTGATTAAATGGCCCTCTAAAAATCAGGCATTCATTGGCAACTTTGTTTCAATTATAATGACCAGCACTTTTTTTTTCCTATTAATGGTACCAACACCACCATGAGAAAACTTAGTTGTGCAATACCTTGGAGCCCAGAAAAGAATTGCCAAATTTTTTGCACAAATTGTAGCATTTAAAAAACTTGTATTAAAAAATATATCCATCTTTTTGAAAGAATGTTGCTGTGAAAAATTATTGCTTTGGATCAGCAAAAGAAGTTCTTGGTTAAAGCATCCATTCTTGCCTGTAGTTTTAGGACAATTCCTTGAGTTAGCAAGCTTTGGTCAGACTTTCCAGTAGGTCTTCCAAAAAGGTCAACTTCAAGATCTCCTGCCTCATACTTCTTTGAGTTTCTGTTGTGCGGATTTCTTTTTCTTTCAATCAACTTTAGAACACCAAGTTTTCAAGCAAACTGGACATGTAAAATTGACATCCCAATAACAATATTTCTTTTACAGACCTAAAAGCACATTCTAGGAGACTGCTCAACCCAAACTGTTCTACAAAAGCATCAGGCTTAACAAAGTAAAGTTGCATTATGAACTGCATAGGAAACATAAACAGTCTCAGGTCTTTTTTTTTTGTCTTTTGTGATGGTGACTTTCCCATCTGAATGCTTTATAGGTTTGGATAGATTCATCATTTTGGTGTACTTTTTTATAGTTGACAACCAAGTTTCTGGTATTAGCTTAATGGGCTCATATCTGGATGGCAGTTTTGGAATATGA